CCATTTCTTTTATGTTCACCTTTGGTCGTAGCAGACAGCATGTGGCCTTCACCGTTAACATGTGCAATTTTAAGTTCTCCCCTGACCTGTATTTTCCCGTAGGGACCCACTGCCATTTGTCGGGGTCAAAGGGGAGTTCTATCACGAGGGTATTTGGCTGATATGCGATCCATACATCTTTATCCCGCAGCACGCGGATCCTTTGCAGGTTCGTATTTCTCCACCATCTCATCACCTCTTGGGTGTGCAAAGTGAGCTGATTTTCCTTGCCTATGTGGAAGAGGTTAACCAGCGTTTCGTCTGTTCGTACCTCCACCACATTGCCTACACTTTCCGGATCCCCCGGGGAAGCTACCCAATCCCCTTCTTTTAGCTCGGTCCTCTGCGCAGGATGCGCACCCAGGCCAGGGGGATAGCAAAGATCAGCAGATCGATGTTCTCCTCAACCTTGTAACAGTGCTTTAGAATGGTATTCGGTTGTGGCACTGTTTTTCCAGTCGCACTCTTTTAAGTCCCGTATGTCCTTTATTCTGACTATGCCTTTTTTGGCCCAGCTACTCGACAGGGTGTCCGAGCTGCGATACACCCTGCTGTACCGTTTGTAATTCTTCTGTCCCCAAAAAGGGGCTGATGCATCACCTCCTCTCGCCTAGTCGGTGGGGTGTTTTCAGGCAGCGAGAGTTGGCGCCTAGCCCTCAGGACCCGGGCCCAAAAGTCGTCCCTGACCAAATCCAAGCGGATTGTGTCACAGAACAAGTCTCGCACTGTTTGAGGGCACTGTGGCACAGTCCAGAAGCGGTCCTCCAGCCAGGTCAATAGGTTAACTCCTTGCGGCACCTGTGAGGCAAGTCTAGCTATCTATTCTAGAGTCAGGGCATACCATGCGAGGTGCTGAGTGAAGACCAATCTCCTCACCCATTGGACTGTTTGAGGGCACCGTGGCACAGTCCAGAAGCGGTCCTCCAGCCAGGTCAATTGGTTAACTCCTTGCGGCGCCTGTGAGGCAAGTCTAGCTATCTATTCTAGAGCCAGGGCATAACATGGGAGGTGCTGAGTGAAGAGCAATCTCCTAACCCATCGGACTGTCACTGCTATGATCTGGGTATCCGGGTCCAGGATCCCTAGACCCCCTTTGTCTTTGGGTTGGATCATCGATGACCAGGCTACCCTGCAAATAACGTTTGGGAGCTCACAGTTGCCTTTCCACAGCAGGGCCGTTAATTGCCTCTTTAGTGATCGGACGGTCTCCTTATTGAGGGTCCAAATTGCAGATTTATACCAAAGGGCCGCCAGCACTACGTTATTGATCGTGAGCGCCCTACCGATGAGGGAGGTGTGCCGGTCTTTCCAATGAGTGAAGAGCAATCTCCTAACCCATTGGACTGTTAATGCTGTGATCTGGGTATTTGGGTCCAGGATCCCCAGGCCCCCTTCGTCTTTGGGTTGGATCACCGATGACCAGGCTACCCTGCTGATAACGTTCGGGAGCTCACCGTTGCCTCTCCATCGCAGGGCTGTTAACTGCCTCTTTAACGTTCGGACGACCTCCTTACTGAGGGTCCAAATTGCAGATTTATACCAAAGGGCCGCCAGCACTACGCTATTGATCGCGAGCGACCTACCGATGAGGGAGGTACGCCGGTCTTTCCAGTTGAGACACTTAGGTTTTCAGTAGGGAAAACAAGGCCGCAGTCAAGGTTTTCAGTTTTTTTTTTAAGCGTTTCAGTCACGGTTTTCGCGAGTTCTACTCCAAAGCGCGGAAAATTGTGAATGTATCCAACCCAGCTTTAGGGTTGGGTGGGGATGTGTTGTGTTCGAGGGGTGCCTGAAGTGGATTTAGAGTGGAAAACGTGACTGCGCTGTGGTCCCCTTTTCAGTAATTGTTCATGAATATCCCTTTATTCTCAGCCAAAGCCAGATAATGGCCGTGGTACCTTAAAATGCGCAGTATAAATGCTGAAGGACTCCCCATGAATAGATTGGAGCATTTTGTCACAAAAAAAAAAAAGGAAAAGAAAAAAAATTGCTGGACTCCCCAGGAATTAGATCCGGTCATGGCCCCTGTGCTTTCAAGGACGACATGAATAAATTGCGAAATGGTTGAAATTAAAAAAAAAAAGATACCCTCCTCAGCGGCAAGACTGGTTCTTCAAAAAAAAAAAAAAGGAAGGCGGCAAAATTTGTCTGGCACCCCTGTAGTTTCCACAATTTTGCGTTGTGCCCCTCCCACGACCAATTTACCGTCCCACACCCCTCTGCTTCAAGTTTCCCATAAAACCCCCATGTCGGTTGGGCCTGAAATATTTTTGTTATGCCCTATCGGTACCTGTTCCAAATTTGCAGTATGCCCCTTGAGTACCAGCACAAAAAAGTCCATATGCCCTAACCAGTAGGGTGTATCTTTTCAGCGCACCTCTATGGCTACACGCATGGCAGCCACTTCATTTCTCTCTCTCTCTCTCTCTCTCTCTCTCTCTCTCTCTCTCTCTCTCTCTCTCTC